TTTTCATAAGAATTCTGGTATTTTACTCATTGTTTTTTGCCAATGAGTCCTGTCTTTCTTTTCTACTGGCTCCCTGCCCCCACCAAACCACCAAGGGTACTGAAGGAAAATGGGAAGGTAGGATAGTAGATGAGGTTTTCTAAGCCACCAAACCTGGACATTTTCTTCTGAATCCTCTTTCCTCAAAGAGCAAGTCTGAACTTGGAACCAAGGAATAGCCATGAATATAAATTAAATATTCCTTCAAAGAGCTAAATCAGTTGTATCTTTTGGCCTTCAACAGGTGGTGAAGCTGATCTAGGTAATCAGGTAACACCATTGGATGCCTTCTCTAGGACTAGAGCATCAGAAGATAACATCACAGAATCTCAGCATACACTAGTGGCTGAAATAATGGTGTCAGGTACGAATAATGGATTCTCTACAGCTTTGTTTTGACAATTTCCATTCTACCAATGAGAAACTCTGACTTATCTCTGTTGCTTAACATTAGTTAAATCTATACAAAGTTAATGAATCCAAACTTTGGATTCAAATCCTCTTCTGAATGGCCTGTCCAGATCTGCATTAGTCTGAACATGAACTGTACATTTTGAAAGTCTTTGTGCTGAATGTTTTTTGAGGAAATATAACTTGAAAACAAAGGCCAAAATTAAAACAGAATAAAGTTAAATATCCCCATCCATACATAGTATTGTTGATGTTTGATCATCTAGGTGTTCTTCCACTAGCATCAAGTTAGAGCAATTGATAAGCAAATGTAAGTTGGTTGCTTCAGTTCCTGAGGAAAGCCCATAAACAAACAAAAAAAATGTTAGAATTATTTCTGTGTTGCACATTTAACATCAAAATGTCAAATAATGGGCTGAGGATGTGGCTCAAATGGTAACGCGCTCGCCTGGCATGCTCAGGGCGCTGGGTTCGATCCTCAGCACCACATAAAATAAAATAAAGATGTTGTGTCCACCGAAAACTGAAAAATAAATATCAAAAAATTCTCTCTTTCTTCTCTCTCTCTATCTCTTTAAAAAAAAAAGTCAAATAATTTGTTTTGTGTGTAACAACTTTAGGGAACCTGAGTATTTTGTGTTCTGTATTTATTCATGAGGCCAGTGGTTTTCACACTGAGCCCTAGAGCTTCTCAAGCCCCACCCTTTCTTCTCTTTAGGTTACTGTCTTTCAATCAGTATAGTTCACCTTGACTTTGAAACATTTTATTTGTTTATATTACTGAATAGCAGTTTGTTTTAACAAACTGTCTATGCCTTAAAAGAAAAAATTTGAAAACTCCACATTAGGATATTTAAGGAAGGATTTCCCTGACTTTTGTGGTCTACAGACTACTTAGAAGATATAAAGAGCTCTGAGGACTTCATGCCCCATACCTTATCAGTGTGATTTTTGATAAAATATAAAGAGGTACATATTTTTAGTAATAATAATAACTAAAATTTGTATAGAGCATTGTCATTTGCTGTGTACTTTAAATATATTCTCTATTTTGGTTCTTATTATAATTCATCATTTCAAAGATGCAAAAACTGAGACTAAGTAATATTAATTAGTGACTTAACCCAAGGTTTTTTAAATTATGACCAAATAATTAATTTATGCTAAAGTAAGAATTCCTAGAACACTTGGTCACATTAGGAAAATTATTTATTTAACAACTTATTGTGCATACACTATGCCAAGTGCTAGAGATACTAACATGAGCTAAATATAGTCCTAGTGTGCAAGGTCACGTCTGATGTAGAGATAAGCAATATAATAGAATAAAACCATATCAATTAATATTAGAAGGACATATATCCTTTTAAAGTCACTAGGGATCCCTAGAAGTTTATAGAGCATAATTTGAAAGACTTATATTTGAAGGACTCAAAGAAAACAAATGGCAGATAGTAGATTAGGCATAAGGTGGGAATAGGGAAGTGACCAAGTGACAAAAGATCTGTGTACACATATATAATACTCTGTGTTTGGCTTTATATCTAAAGATTACACAATGCCTCGTGCATAACAGACGAATTGATTATCTTGATAGAAAAGACCTCATCTTTCCATACTTGGATTGTGTTCTGTTTTCTTCTGCTCTGTGAAATTTAGTTCCATCTGGGTTAGGCTAAAGGTCTTACTTATGTTTTATAGTGAGAGTTTTTAAGTCAACAAAGTATCTTTCTATAATTTAGGGGGAAAAAAGGAAAACTCCAAGTATAGGGCCTTGTATTCTAGCCCTAGAATCCAAGAACAAAATCTAAAATTCTTAGTGTGGCCCATCAAGCCCTGTTCAGTGCCCTCAGTCACCAGCCCTTTGTCCTTAGCTTTCTAGGGCCTCTTCAGTTACAATAGCCTTGTTGTTTCCTGGGCCTTTAGTGCTCTTTTTAACCTCTCTAAGTCCTCTCTGCATTGTCTCAGTATTAATATTCTCTTGCATAGAAAGCCTTCCTGCCTGAACAGTTGGGGTTGCCTCTTAGCTCTTAGAATACAGTATAGTTCTTGATCACATTTGTCATATTAATACTTCAATTATTATGTAAGAAAACAGAGACCTTGCCTATATTCTTATTTTTAAAAAATGGTACTAGGGATTGAATCCTGGGATACTTTACCTCTGAGCCACATTCCCAACCCTTTTTATTTATTTTGAGATAGGGTCTCACTAAGTTGCAGAAGCTAGCATTGAACATGTAATACTCCTGCCTTACTTAGCCTGTCAACATTTTTATCACTCTACTTTTGACATTCATTCATATCTGAGGCATACTAGGTACTTTTAAGTGAATTTTATTTTTACTAACAGGCCCCAGATTCTATTCCACTGTAATGAGGGTAGGTTTTTTGTTTTTTGGTGGTACTAGAACTCACACACTAGGCACTTACTCTACCTCTGAACTACATCCTCAGTCCTGACAAAGCTAATTTTTTGTCAGTTTGTTATGATAACCTCCTTCTTTATCATCTTTGTTTAAATATGTATAATATTTTTAAATTCTCAGAGGATTTTTTAAAAATATATCTCTTTTTATTCTGGTCCTTACACAAAAATAAACCTAGCAGAAATTGCCACGTGTATTTTAAAGCAGAAGGTGAATGTACGCATTCTGTCCAGAACTAATTTTTAATGGAAGGAACTTTGGCTCTAGCTTCCCCCTTCTACAACTACATATCCATTGCTTTTCTTTCTTTATTTATTTATTTTAATTATTTATATATTACAGCAGAGTGCATTTTGATTCATGGTACACAATTGCAGCCCAACTTTTCATTTCTCTGATTGCACACAATGTAGCGTCGCACCATCTGTGCAGTCATACATGTACCTAGGATAATAATGTTCATCACATTCCACCATCTTTTCTGCCCTGTGACCGCTCCCCACCCTACTCTTTGCCCAAAGTTCCTCCATTTTTCCCATCCCCACCCCACCCCATTATGGATCAGTGTCCACATATCAGAGAGAACATTCAGCCTGTGGTTTTTGGGATTAGCTTACTTCGCTTAGCATGATATTCTCCAGCTCCATCCATTTATCTACAAATGCCATAATTTTATTCTCTTTTAATGCTGAGTAATATTCCATTGTGTATATATACCACAGTTTCTTCATCCATTCATCTATTGAAAGGCATCTAGGTTGCTTCCATAGTTTAGCTATTGTGAATTGACCTGCTATAAACATTGATGTGGCTGTGTCCCTGTAATATGCTGATTTTAAGTCCTTTGAGTATAGACTGAGGAGTGGGATACCTGGGTCAAATGGTGGTTCCATTCCAGGTTTTCTTAGGAATCTCCATACTGCTTTCCAAAGTGGTTGCACCAATTTGCATCCCACCAGCAATGTATGAGTGTACCTTTTCCCCAACATCCTCACCAACACTTATTGTTGTTTATATTCTTGATAACTGCCATTCTGACTAGTGTGAGATGAAATCTTAGAGTAGTTTCTTTTTTTTGGGGGGGGGGTGGAAATCTTAGAGTAGTTTTGATTTGCATTTCTCTAATTATTCATTGTTTTTCATTATGCAAAGCTGACTTGAGTTTTGCAAGTTACCAAATAAACCCTGAATCATATTCTAATTTAAGGATAATTCTGAAAGAAATTTAAAATGTCTTGCATAATTGAATACTCTCCACTCTATGCTCTGAGCAGCCTTGATTTGGGAGCTAGTCTTCCAAATATATGTTGATTCAAGTGATTAACTCATTTAACCTGAATGATTCTTACCCATCCTAAGAATCATGAGTGACTAGAGATGACTAAGCAAGCATGAAAACTTGTGTTCCCATGAGAGAAATCTTCTAGCTCAAGTACCTAAGAAAATGAAATTGCCCTGTACCTGCAAACACATGGCACTCCCATCCTGCCTAGATCATTTGACTTTTTTTGAAATAGGGACACGGGGGGGCTTCTTTGATCTCTTCTGTACTCAAATGAGCAAACTAAGCAGCAAATAGACAGATGATAGTTTATATTTTACTGTGGCATGTCAGATCCTCCAGCTCCAAAAAAGGGGGTGGTGGTGGCATTTGGAGAATGATTATATACATAAGCAATTAAAGCAAAAAAAGGCAAAAAATGAAGACAAACTTGCTCATGTTTATGGCTGAACATGTAACTGTCCCCTGGAGGCATTTGTACTTAAATAGAATATGAAATGAAATGATCCATTTACAGCCATTTCCTTGTATGGTTCATAACTTTGTAGAAGTGCCTGGAGGTTTGCAAGTCCCTGCATAAATCTTGATAATAAACACACCTTGTGACATACATATTCTATTATATGTGAGACATAATATTAGTAAATTGACAATAAATCTTTCTATGATTTAATCTCTTTACTGTGTTGATGAACAGATCTATTTGGTACATGTTAGTCTGTCTATCTTTGGGGAGAAGAATAGATTGAATACCTTTATATTTCATAACAGTTGGGAATTTTTAAATAAGTAGTAAACCTTTTGAAATTTCAGTCTATTTATTCCTAGCAATTTATAGTTTGAACTTGCAGATTCTCTTAAAAAATATAAGCAAGTTCCCACAAGGCTCTTTGAATACCAAATAATTCTTTAAGACTAAAGTTTGTTGAGAGTATGTGAACAGAAACATATGGCTTATAGGTACTTTACTGTAGATATAGATTATAGGTCAACAGAATATTTCTATTTGGGGATTAGCCTTTACCAGAACGTGTGGAAGACAGTGCTGGAACACTTTGTAGATTCCAGGATGTTAAAGTCCATTTTCTCCTTTAAGATCTGGAAATAATTGCCTGGGTTTCTTGCTGTTTGCAGATGAAGACGACTGTTCCCCCGTGGAATGTGGCAGCCATGCCCAGTGTGTTTCAGAGGGAGAGAATGCCACCTGTCAGTGTTTGAAAGGATTTACCTGGGATGGAAACCTATGTTCTGGTAAGAGCAAAGGCTAAATACACATACTTGAAAATTTGTGAATTAGAAACATTCTTTTTGCTCTTAATGACTGAAAATCTTCAGAAGGAGTTATGTAATCACAGATTTAAATAGTAATTTGATGTTAATCTAAAAATATGCATGACATACATAGAAAATATGAAACATATAAATATATATAATGTTAACATATAATGAGTTTATATTAAAATTATATGGTAAATGCAGCTGACATTAAGAGGAAGAATTTATAATGAGCTTCAGAAGCAAGAATTTAAGTTCAAGTCAAATTTACAAATTCACAAATTCCAGTGAAAACAGAACGTTTTATGTGATTTTTTTAGTATTTATTTTTTAGTTGTAGTTGAACATAATACCTTTATTTTTTTTTATTTATTTATTTTCTCTTTTTATTAATATTTTAAAATAAATGACAGCAGAATGCATTATAATTCTTATTACACATATAGAGCACAATTTTTCATATCTCTGGTTGTATATCAAATATGTTCACACCAATTCGTGTCTTTGGATAATGATGTTCATCACATTTCACCATCCTTGCTAACCCCCTGCCCCCTCCCTTCCCCTCCCACCCCTCTGCCCTATCTAGTATTCATCTATTTCTCCCATGCTCCCTGTCCCTACCCAACTATGAGTTATTCACTTTATATCAAAAAAAAAAAAAACATTTGGCATTTGGTTTTTTGGGATTGGCTAACTTCACTTAGCATTATCTCCTCTCAACGCTATCCATTTACCTGCAAAAGCCATGATTTTATTCTCTTTTAATGCTGAGTAATATGCCACATTTTTTTAATCCATTCATCTACTGAAGGGCATCTAGGATGGTTCCACAGTTTAGCTATTGTGAATTGTGCTGCTATCAACATTGATGTGGCTGTGTCCCTGTATTATGCTGTTTCTAAATCCTTTGGTTCTAGACCAAGGAGAGGGATAGCTGGGTCAAATGGTGATTCCATTCCCAGTTTTCCAAGGAATCTCCATACTGCTTTCCACATTGGCTGCACCAATTTGCAGTCCCACCAGCAATGTATGAGTGTACCTTTTTCCCCACATCCTCGCCAACACTTATTTTTTGTTTATTTATTTTTATGTGGTACCGAGGATCAAACCCAGGGCTTCACATGTGCTAGGCGATCGCTCAACCACTGAGCCACAACCCCAGCCCCAGAATTTTTTTCTCCCACAGAAGTGTAGCCAAAGTGTTAATCAAATAAATAGATTGTCATGGATAGGTTAATATTTTATATCAATGGCATCAAAATGATGTTAGTGATTACTGAAAAAAATATCAGTCCTTATGATCTGAAACTATGGTATGAATTGGTTTACTTACACATATTTAACTGTTTGCACAGGTAAGAACTCTGGAGAAATTAATTCACAAGTTCAGATTTGCATGATATTTGCAAATAGTATGTTAACAGCCGTATGATAAAATTCAAGTTTGTTTATTTTTTCCTACTGTTGCTATTTATACCAAGCCTGAATATTTATCTATGCACAATTTTGCCCACAGATGTAGATGAATGTGAGGTGGGTAGCACAGTTTGTCCTCCTGTCTCCTCCAAGTGCATCAATACAGAAGGCAGTTATGTCTGTGGATGCTCCCAAGGTTACCAAGGAGATGGAATTCACTGTCTTGGTAAGAGAGTGGTTGGCGCAGGAGGGTGGAATAAAGCCTTGGAAAATCACAAAACATCGTGGGTGTGGTGGGCCAAGAAAAGACAGGTTGTAATTGGGGTGATACACATGTCAAGACTAGAAGCAGTCACATGACCTGTTCTGACATATTTCATTCCTTGATAGTCACTTTTGTATTACAGCTATACTAGTCAATGTCAAGCCTCTGACACTGGAGGCTATTTACCTCTCTGGTTTTTGTTCTTTCTCTGGGATTTGAGTGACATCAGTGTCTCAGCGCTCCATGCCTTGAGCCGTCATGGGAGAGTTGGACATTTCTTTGTCATTGAATTTGGCATCTGGAATGTGGTGAACTACAAATTTGATTTGGGGCTGTTGGAAGTTACTTCAGAGAAAAGGAGGTGTGGTTCCCTGAAAGGGATCTTTAGGTTTCTTGATGTGTAATAGGCAGGAGACTCAAGCCACTGACATTTAGATAGAAGTAAGAATGATTGAAACCTCTTTCATAATCACCATCCTCTGCCAAGGTCTGGGTGAGGCCTGTCGGGTTGGGAGTTCACTCTGTGGCTGTCTTCTACCTTTCCAGGTATCAGTGGCATAGTATCTTGTACAAGTGGAGACCTGCCTCAAGGCACCCGTTCCTGCTGCAGTGGTTATCTGAGGTTTCATAGGGCTTTAAAATTTTTCTTCCAGTGTTTTCTTTTTCTGAAAACATAAAAAATATTTTCGTGCCAGATGCCCTGATAAGAAATTCAAACGATAGTGCTTTCTTCCACGTGTTAAGTTAAAAAAGAAGTATCAATCATAACTATCCGTTTTCTGGATCTGGATGGTTTAAACCAAACCTTTATCAGATTAGTTCTGTGGAGTCCACAGACATTTGAAAATGCTCTTTTAAGCACATATTTGGCTGTCAGTCAGGAAAATGTCACGATTCTAATTAAGAAGGCTCATAGATAATTTACACAAACAGACTTCATATTTAATTTCCTTTGAAAAGAAGGTATCCTTTCTCAAATGTTTAAACTCTTGATTCTCTGTTACTAACACACATCTAAGATGTGCTATGGATGTCATGATCTGACCTGCCTGATTGTCATGGAGTCCTCAGACTCCATGGAAACTTGTGCTTGCTCCTGTTCTCTCTTGGTCCTTGTCTTCTGTCTCTCTGCCTGTATGTAGATAGGTGAATATATTGCTTTCAGCCATGCCTGACACCTAAGTGCTATATGAAAGTGTTGTTCTTACTACTGGAAATAGTTGTGTTTCATGGCGAAGGGTACATTTTTGTTTTTGCTTTTCAGAAAAGCTCACTCTTTGTCTCAAGTTGATAGTTCATTGACATTACAACATGAGGCCAGTTAGAAAAAAAGAGTCAATTTGAACCATTCAGAACAGTAACATAATGTTATAGATATTGTATTGGTTCATATTAGGTGCAAAGATACAGTATTAGTAACTGTGAGGAATACCAGGATGAGGGAGCCAGTCTTCTCACAAGGAGAATATGATCTACAAGAAGCACAGCTGTGATAAGTGGTTAAGAAAGATGTACATTATAAGAGATATAAAAATCATAGTGGAAGTTTAAAACTGGAAGAAATATGTTTGAGGTATTGGGAACTCTTTCATGGAAGAATGTCATTTTAAAGGGACTGTGGGGAACTAGTAAATATTAATCAGACAAAAATGTGAAGGTAGGAAGTATTCTAGTCACAAAAAAATCATATACCTTATTGGTGAGTAGATAATAGGTTTGGGGTTGGTTCGTAGGGTGGTGTTGCCATAACAAAGTATTAAAGTATCATAGACTATAGCTTATACAACAGAAATTTGTTTTCTCAGTTTTGGAGGCTAAAATTCCCAGATGAACAAGCTGGCTGGTTGGTTCTGGTGAAGGATTTTTCCCTCTTGCAGATGATGTCCACCTTCTTGCCACATTCTCACACAGCTTTTCCTCTGTGGTGTGCAGAAGGAGAAACAACTCTGGTGTTTCTTCCCCTTCTTTTAAGGATACCAGTCCTATTGGATTAAGGCCTCACCCTTCTGATGTCATTTAACCTTAATTACCTCAATATTTATACACCCTATTTTCACATACAATACATTGGGAGTCAAGGCTTTAACATGTGAATTTGTGGGGAGACACTATTCAGTCCCTAACAGATGGATTGGGTTACATTTGTGCAAGATTAGAACCCAAAAACCAGTCATTCGTGTTTTCTCTGGGCCAAATTTTATACTAAATTTTGTAATAGTCGCATGAAAAAAACAAAAAGGGAGGGTTGGAATTCATTTTAACCATTTAATTATTCTAATTCATTTAAAATATTAATGTTTTAATATGTAATCAACATAAAATTATTGGATTTATATGTTTTATTTTAGCATTGTGTCTTCCAAATCTGGTATGTGCTTTATGCTTACAGCAGATCTGTGTGGACGAGGTGCATTTCAGGAGCTCAATGCTTCTGTGTTGCAATGGCTTTCATATTAGACAGCACAGTAGTAGGAATAGAGAGCCACTGGCAGCATTTCAGTGAAGAGGTGCAGTGATGGGTTATCATCATCCTGGTCTAGGAAGAATTATCTGGCATTGGTGTTTAGGAGTGCCCTGCAGAAGACATGGAATACAGAAATATAGTGAGACTGTTGTAGCCAGAAATTACCTGAATATTAGAGTGGTGGCAGTTGAGAAAGAAAAGTGTGTGTGGGGGGGAGATAGTTGGGAAATAAAGGATGCTTTATTTATATGGTTCATGTTTATGTTAAAAAAGCAAACATGTTAAATTTGATATAACATTTATGTCAATGGCTGGATGTGTGTTTACAAAAGTTAAGTATGAATTTTGGGATCTTAACTTCTAAATGTTTGCCTGGAAGTAGTTTACCAAATTCCAATTTGGCAAAGTCTCCTTTCTTTCCAAGCAGAAGAAAGAAACCCTCTGTCAGGAGCCTAGAGCACCTGAATGGGTATGCAGCCAAGGATTCAGTTCATCTCTTTCTCCAGCATTTATAATGGAACCCATAAAAATGTGTAGGGCTCTGAAAACATGAAGTTGAATATAACCACCTTCTAAAATGTTGGACTTTCCAGTTGCATAACACTCTTTCCTTCCTCTGCACTCCACTCTTCCCCATTCCCATTTTTCTGACAGATATTGATGAGTGCCACCTGGGGGTTCATAGCTGTGGAGAGAATGCCAACTGTACAAATACAGAGGGAGGCTATACCTGCATGTGTGCTGGCCGCCTGTCTGAACCTGGACTGTCTTGCCCTGGTAGGTTGTTGGTGGGTGGTCTAGATGGAAGGGGAAAGACTTGGTTCAGGGAAATTCTGTACCCCAGTATATTTGCATTAGAGATTCTAGAAATCATTCAGTTTGACCAGGCTAGAGAGCTGGCTTTACTTTTTGTGTTGATACTGGGCTTGAAAACTTGAAATGGTCCAGGCCTTCTTAATTTAATAGCATCTGGAATAAATCCTTTTTTATTACTTGCAGTTCAATATAGGTGAGTACCCAGGTGGTTCCCTTTAACTATGTGACTAATCTCCTGATTTGTAATGTTGATTCCTGGGGCTCCTGGAAAAACTTTACAGGGCAAAGCAGGTTTTAAGTATGCCTGGATTTTAAATAACGTATTTTATTTATTCTAATGTATCCAAATAGTAACATTTTAATATGAAATCAGTATAAAATGAGATATTTTACATTCTTTTCAGTTTTGGTAAGAAGTCTTCCAAATCTGGTATGTATTTTATACTTAGAGCACATTTTGGTGTAGGCCAGATGTATTTCAGGAGCTCAATGATCCTGATTTGCAATGGCTGCCATGTTGGACAGCACAGCTGTAGTGACAGAGCCACTGGCAGCACTTCAGTGAAGTGGCGCAAGGACAGAGAATAGGGAAAATAATCACTTGGTAGGATTTTAAAATGCTACTATAAAAAGTCGTTATTTCTTGATCTAAAATTAGCATTCCAACTCTCTTCACTTTCTTTTTAAACATTCATTACAGTTGACTTTTGCTTCCTGAACTTTTCCCCATAACAGCAGTATCTTCTTAACCCTCAGCACCCTAAATGGGGAGCTGATTTCACCTAGAACCTGGAAGGATGGGTCCTTCCTCCCACTGCCAGCTGCTTGCCTCTCAGCTCTGCAAACAAAAAACATCCTCAGAAAAGAAATTTCTGCACTTGCCTGAACTCTGTTTTTTAGCATGTTATTTTTCTCAGATAATTTGTTCTTCTTAAAGATATTGAAAACCTTTTCTTTATATAGTCAGCTACACATCCTGATGTTTTTCTTTTAATCCATTTTGTCTCATCATCCCAGATGTGAAACACCTACAAAAACTTAAATATAGTACATAATATATAATTATATTAAATTAATAAGAATATACTCATAATATTATAATACTTATAATGTATATAAGCTCTATATTATAATTTACCACCTCTTTTAATGCATCTATATCAATTTTATTGAAATATTTGCAGAATCGAAAACTTGGGATTTAATGGGTTAAAGAGTAGTGAATCATTTAAAAAGAGATCTTACCATTTTGGCATTCCTCTGCTATAGTAACATTTCCTTCCTGCTAAAGTTGCCACAGTCTTCTCTCTGAGGGTTCCCCTAAAAGTTTAATAGTTTTTAGAAGAAAATATTGTATGGAAAAATTTTGAGATTCCCAGGATTTGGTGGGTAATGGACTGTTTATTGGTGGGATAGTTTAAAGACAAACAAAGACACCAGCTGTTCCATGACACCTTAAAGCTAGCTATCATTTCACACAATCAGTTTGTGTTTCTGGTTATTATGTGTTTTTGAATGACAGACTTGCTCTTATATGAGATCAGTGACGTAATCCATATGGGGATTTAAAATGGCCATTTTCTTATTTGCCTCCAATATACCTCAGAATATCTAAAGAAATAAGAGTTAACTTCATAGTGAATGGCATAAAGTCTGCTTGGTAAGGAGAAACTGTTGTTGCTCCTGATAGTTCTACCATTACTGAGAGACATGGTATCACAAATTGTTCACAGAAACTAATTCCTGATATTAATACTTTAAAAAATCTTTATCACAGAAAATAAAAGTGATGTCTATGATTCTTCCAGACTATACACCACCCCCTACCCTCTGGGAAGATGGCCACCATCTGGTCAGAAATAGTTACCCAGGATGTCCTGAGTCACATGATGGGTACTGCCTCCATGGTGGAGTATGTATGTATGTTGAAGCAGTAGACAGCTATGCGTGCAAGTAAGTCCAGTTCTTCCTGACAGCACCAAGGTGCTATCCTAGTCCATAATGTTTCACTAATTTGTAGAATTATATGTAGGAGATTTTTTCATAATTAGATTTTTTTTTTCCTTAGGAAAACATGAATACATAGATTATGGTGTGTGGGTGCACACCTCAATGCACTTTCCTTGCATATATATCACCACCTCCTCCCAGTCACCAGTGGTAAACATAAAGGAAAGTAATTGGTGATTTTCCTTTTATTTAAATAATTCCTTGTATGGTCTAGGAATTAAATTTCTCATTCTGCTTGAAAAACATGTTTGTGGAGAATTTCTTAAAACTTTGATTTATTCTCTGTCAAATAAATGGAGAACATTCACAATATGTTTTTAGATTTACAAAAATGTTGTACATATTCACATTGGACTTTTTGCCTTTGCTTTTCAAAGCTAAAATAAATTTTTCTTCACTTCCTAGTGGTTGATTCTTACATCTTTATTGTTTAGTCACAGTTGTTGAGAGCTGCAGGTACTGTGTTCTGCTCCCTTTTTTTTGCCACATGAGGGTTTCACCATGGGCAAAATGGTGCCCTGAAAGCGGATTTGAGGAAGACATAAAACAATGAAGTATTCCCACAGGGCTCACTCAGAACACCTTTCCTGTGGAGCCTTTTATTAAAACTCAAGCTCACAATAGCTAGTTCTATACCAAATCTTACTCTTAATGAATTTCACATTTTCCAGGCAATATGAGGGACCCAACTAGAGAAAAATAAATAGGTCTCCTGTGTTTAGACCCCTGTCTCATTGATAATTTTCTCTGAGCCTGAAGGAGTGATAAAATATTCTGACTTTCATGAACAGATACTACAAGTTTAAAGACATTAATGATTTTATCAATAATAATGCACAGAAACATAGTTTAAATTATTTATGGAGGAAGTTATATTCTGTGACAGAATGTGTGTGTGTGACCTTGCATTAAAAATCATGTCAGCATGGCAAAAATTTGAAAAACATTCATGAATATTAGTCAAAATGACTCAGTTCTAATGAAATTCTGCTTTCATTTTTATATTTACCCCTATAATTTTTAAACCTGTGATAACTTGACAAATTATAGTAGTATACTTGAAATTAATGTTCTTTAATATTAAGAAATAAACAATTTTTACCTGTTCATGATTTCTTATACCCTCAAGTAATGAAATTACAGAAACAAGTGTCCTAATTCATTAGGTCTTATTTGTTTTCTTCCATGGTACTTCAGGTCATAAAAATCATTACAGTGACCAAAAAAAAAAAAAAAAAGAAAAAGAAAAAGTAAAAAAGGTTGCTGTATTGCATTTAGTACAGTATTGCATTTAGTATGAGTTCTTGAACACAATGTTTTTCTTCCTATCATTAAATCCTGATGAAAATATCATATTTCTCTAATAATGTTTTAAACTAGAATTTGTTCAAAATGACAAATTAGATGACATTCACCTTTAAGTACCTTTAGTCAAAAGCAGTATTTAAAACTATTATCAGTATACATAGTAATCTGGACCATAACTTTGTTTTTGAGTTGTATATTTAGTAAAAAAAAAAATGTGGTTTAGTCAAGTATTCAACCCTTCCCTCCTTTTGCCCTGCTGACCTTACATAGTATTTTATTAATTCTATAATAAAACTCTAGGGAGTGCTTTCCAGCCCAGCTTTATTGGAAACACTGCATCTTTTGCCACAGAGCAGGTTTTTATTCTAGGGTTTTTAAAGGGCCGGCTCTTCCTTCTTTGCCTGGAGACAGTGGGAGTTCCCCTCAGAGACCTGAATGCAGAGGAAGTGAGCCCTGGAAGTGTCTGTGCCCACACAGCTCCTCCAAGCCTTCCTGGCTTGGAGAGTCTCAGGAGTTCCCGAAGCTCTTAAGCTCAGAGAAGATCCCCCTTCGTTCTGTTTTAGCTTTGACCAAACACACTATTGCACATCTTCTTTAAATGAACATCCCCTACACCAGTCAGTGCAATGTTTCTTGAAGACAGGGTTGTGTGACCAAATCTATTTGAGAAACATTTCAGATTCCAACCTTCAATTCTTGATACATAGCACACCACCAACACACTATGAAGTCTTGTTTACCTTTATTTCATCTAGAATGTCTTGAAATTATTTGACCGTAGAAATTCAAACTTAATTGGCCAGAGAATCTTTTGTTGGTATAGCACAAGAACCAATTAATAGTCTAAAGGACTCGTGATTTGTGTCCTTCTCCCTTGTAAACTGGGGACTGTTCTGGGCCTTGTAAGACAGAAAGGCTCTGCTACTGCAACCTGTCTTAGCTCTCAGGATTCTTGGTCGTGTGATGGACATCCTTAAAACCCTCAAGTCTCTGAGAGGTCCAAAGGTATGGCTCATTAATATCAAAGAGTTTAAAAGTGGCTGATAGGCATTGATAGTAAATAATTATAACCAAAGATAGCTAGAATCAAAGTAGTACCCAGGGAAGCCTAGAATAACCTAATGGTCTTTTATGCATCTACAAATAAAGCTTGAAGCCTTTTTTGGAATTAGCGTGGTATAATAGGACACAGGCTTTGACATTAAAGAGTAACTTGAATCAAACCTTCCATTCATTAGCTGTGTAGCCATGTACAAATTACTTAATTCTTTGAGCTTTAGTTTCCTCACCTGTAAAATGAGAACATGCCATAAAAACTAAAATGTGTTGAAGTGCCTAGTAATGATGTCAGACACGTAAGGGGCTTAACAAATGCTTGTTGCTTTTCCTCCTTTCTCTCAAAGTGACTTGCCAACCTCCTGTGATAACGTAAGGGTAGAACTAGGAATGGACAGATCTTCTGGAGCTAGTGCAGTGTTTTTTCCCCAGGCTGCTGCTTCCCATCAAAGGAACTGATTTGAGTTATCTGTATATTCATCCCTTCAGTTCTTTGGGGAATTTGTAATGCCATGTTTTAAAAGTTAATTCTCTTAAAACAAATATTATAATACAGTTGTTTACCCAAGATCCCAGTAGTTTCTGGAAATGAGCATTCTCACTAGATGGCAGCATTGTTTCATCTACTTTGAAAATTCAACTATAAATCAATCACTGATGATTCTAGTTACATTGTATTAATGAGACAGTAAGGCATTTGTGAGTGAATGTCCCTTTTTTCCTCCGTTAGTTATTTTCTCCTTAATAAAATAAGCAAATTTTTGTGTCATCACTGTGAGCTTCTCTTGAATCATTGTCCAGTGGTGATTAAAAAGGAAAAAACTTTCTTTCCTACTTTAGGTTGTGCTTCCTGTTCAGGGGCTACATGTGTTCTTCCTTTTAGTTTGCTTTCAAGTGAGGGAATCTGCCTTCAAATTCTTCTTTCCTTTGACCTTTGTTCATTGCAATCTGGCCAAACATTTGTTTTCCAAACTCCCCTGGCTCTCAGGGCTGAATTGCTTTGTGTTGGTTTTAAAAGGTGGCTCCTCAGGATTTTAGCCTAAGAGAAATTGATCTTTAATCAATGTCCTGTAATACCTTATAGAGGCAGTATGCAAATAATTTTCCATCAATCCCAGGGCAAGCAGACTAAAAGGGGCAGTCTGTGTGGCATTAACTTATAAACCGTAGTGCTTTCAGCTGACCCCTGATGGATTTTCCATGTGCTTCTAAAGAGATGAGTCTGGGAATGCAGAGGTTGAGAGATGGCTAGCTATTGAGTCTGAAGACTATCAAATGCCCTTGGCCAGGGTCTCTGATGACTTCTGTTTGTATGTTGTTATAGCTGTGTTATTGGCTACGTCGGGGAGCGATGTCAGCACCGAGACCTGAGATGGTGGGAACTGCGCCATGCTGGCCATGGGCAGCAGCGGAACATCACCGTGGTGGCTGTCTGTGTGGTTGTGCTGGTTCTGCTGCTGCTCCTGGGGCTCTGGGGTGCTTACTACTACAGGTGACCCTTTCTTCCCATTGGTACCTTCAAACCTCTAAGTCCTCCCAAGGGAACACCTGCTTCCTCAGGATGTCCCTTATCTATCTATAGACTACATTTTAATAATAAGTAGTAATAATAGGTAGTAGTACGAGTAATAGGTTTTTAAAATCCAGGATTTTACTGCTCTAAAACATCAGTGCATTCATTTATTTTTCTTGTTCCATTTTAGTCTTTGTCCAAATATAGTTCAGGTGTCTGTTTACTTTTTTTATGTGTGGTGCTGGGGATCATGCCCAGGGCCTCACACAGGTTAGGCAAGTGCTTTAACACTAAGCCACATTCCCAAGCAATGTGCATTTTTAAAAATAAGTTATACTCCGTGTATGTATACCTTTATTTTATTTATTTATTTTTATGTGGTGCCGAGGATCGAACCCAGTGTCTCACATGTACTTCATGAGCACTCTACCACTGAGCCACAGCCTCAGCCCCAGCAGTGTGCATTTTTGAATTCCAGTTTCTTCTTTTAGCATCCCATGCTCTTCTTGCCCCTTCTTCCAGCCAATGTAACTATAATTTTTCATGACTGCCTTTCACTGAGTTAATTTCACACAAAATATGGCCTTTTATTAAAGAAAATCAGTATCTTCTCTAACTTTGGAAGGATGTTTCTGATCCTTGAATTTTATATTTTTCATTCATTTAAAGTTAACAATTAAAAACCAAGGAATTATAACACACTTTTAATTTTTTAAAAATCACACTACAGTAAAGGTATAAATAGGCATCACCCTGTTCATTTTGCATTTCCTTAAGTAGAACATTGCTGGGCATGGTGGCACATGGCTGTTAATCCCAACTACTTGGGAGACTGAGGCAGGAGGATCACAATTTCTAAGCCAGCCTGAGCAACTTTGTAATAGCTTGTCTCAAAATAAAATCATAAAAAAGGACTGAGGGTGTAAGCTCCATGGGACAGCACTTGCTAGTGTGTGTGAGATCCTGAGTTCAATCCCCAGTACCATAAACAAACAAACAAACAAACAAACAAACAAAAAACCTAGAAGACTTTGGGCTGATGGTGACTTTATGAGATTATCTAGTTCAATAATATCATTTATGGCTAAAAACCTGAGACCCACTTAACTCATAGGTTCCAATTCTTTGAGAATGTACCAATACCTGCTATTATCTTAAGATAAAAATCCAACATAATTCACTTGTACTACACAACCACTCATGTCTTTTTTTTTTTTAAACTCAATATATGAGCCAAGATACTCTTCCTTGAGATCCTGCTATATTCTAGTGTAGTGGTTAAGAGCATAGGTTTTGGAATCACGTCACACAGCTTCTAGTCCCAGTTAGTGCCTAAATAGGACATCAGACATGTTTAATACCTGTATCCATTTATTTCCTTTGCTATAAAATAGAGACAAAAATAGTATTTATCTCAAGGGTTATCATGAGATTGAATTAATCAAAGTAAAGAGTTTAGTGTAGGCCTGGCATATTGAGTTTCATAAATGCTGTTACTGTGATTATCTGTGAATGATAATCTTCCCAATCAGATTCAGATACTCTAAGACCTTTTATGCCAACTCCTGAGAGACAAGATTCTCAGGCACAAACTTGAAATTTTAATTCAGTGGTCCACCTAGTAATATTGCACTTTTTAAAAATTTTGTTCTAATTAGTTATGCATGACAGTAGAATTCATTTTGATATATCATACATAAATGGAGTATAACTTTTCATTCTTCTGGTTGTACATGATATAAAATCACACTGGTCAGGTAATCATATATGCACATAGGGTAATAATGTCTGATTCATTCTTCTATCCTTCCTACTCCCAAACCCACTTCCCTCCCTTCACTCCTCTAGGTCTAATCTAAAGTACATTGCATTTTAAAATAAATATATATATATATATATAATATATATATTAGTCTTAGATGGTCACAATACCTCATGCATGCTAGGCAAGCGCTCTACCACTGAGCCACAACCCCAGCCCAGCTACAACCCCAGCCCTATATTGCACTTTTTAAACTGGTATTTAAACTCAGATGTTTTAGAAAAGAACATTTAATGATCGATATAGGTCATTCCACTGGACAATATGCCAAAACAAAGGTAGATCTTAACAAATAGTGTAGAAAAAGTTGGAAAAAAAGAAACAAATTCATGTGTGCTATAATTATTTTTCTCTGATGTATTATGATGTTATTATGTCTTATATTATACTGACATCTTTCAGAGATCTGGATTGAAAACTAAAGGCACATTGCTGGATTTATTTGATTGGAGGTGTGTGTGTGTGTGTGTGTTTCTGGGGATTGAAACCAACCGGGGCCTCACATACACCATGCAAGTGTTCTACCACTAATCTACATCCCCAGCCCATTGGCTTGGAATTCTAAGCAGCACGGCAGAAAAATTCAGAGACTTTACTTACAAAGACGAATGTCTTTAGATTCAATGCTCTTATTCCTAAAATCAAAAGTGATAAGGGCTGTTACTTTAAAAAGAAGGCTCATCAGAGCTCTTTTTTTTTTCTTTTCACTGAAATCTATCCAGAATTATAAAATTCACTGGGAGCAGATCTGTGGTTATTTACTGAACAGTGCTGATAAGAGTGGCTGCTTACCGGCTATTAATCTTCAGCTATGTGCTTGACCACATGTGCACTGTTGATAGACCTGTTCTGACAAGATAGTTGTCCCTGGGCATCAGTGAGTGGGATGAATGGTTTGTTTTGAGATTGTATCAAATTTTGGCTTTATTTCAGGACTCAGAAGCTGCTATTGAAAAATGCAAAGAATCCCTATGAAGAGTCAAGCAGAGACGTGAGCCAGGGCAAACCTGCTGAAGGAGAGGCTGGAATGTCTTCTTGCCCCCAACCTTGGGTAATGTGACCAAAGTAGATAAAGCCAGGAAGTGGGTCGATATACATCCCAGTTCACTTTTTCTTCTCCTTTACTGAGTTTGGAGCAACTGGAATCTGTTAAAACTTTCAACTAGTATCTGTGTTAGCCAACACTACATCAGCTGGGGAGGGTTAGGGGTGGGATGGTGAAGGAACTGTGTCCTATATTAAGGGAATCTGAATTAAAATACCATCCTAATTTAATGGCACAAGAATTGTAGGGGATTTTTTTTCTATGTATACCTTTTTCTTATGACTTAAATTATTAGGTTATGTGAAGTTTTCCCCAAATTTTAGGTGATCCCTTTCACATGGATATCTTAAAAATTCAAGATTATGCTCCTGGCATTCTTAATATTTTTTTCCTCATGCACATTTTAAGTCCCTAGACTTCAGTAGCAAAATAGTTTCCAGATTAACAAAAATACAGGATGCTTAAATTCATACTTATAATGAAAGTTCAAGTTTAATTCAAAGGCAGATTTGAGTTAGTCACTTGGCTGTTTTGTATTGTATCTGTCAACCCTGAATGTTTTCCAAAAAAACATATTAGATCTAGAAATTCAAGATACTTGGCAGGTCATCTGCTTCAATATTGATTTCAGACCACTAGAGGGAAGACTTGCGACAAGCTAAACTCTTGACGCTGGGAATTTCCATTTCCAGAAATCCATCAGAGAACTGATTGAGTGTGCTCTGTTGGTGTATCTGTGGTGTATGTTGCAGAAAAGCTTGGAATATGTAGCAGGCCAGGGAGGATTGAAACCTTAGGGAAGAACTGTTAGGAAGAAGTTTTTTTTCAGGGGGAAAGGCGATGTTTGGAGTTCTTTTCCACGTATCTCTACTCCCCTAACCCCACCTCACCATGCATCCCAGAGGGTAACTTTTTTGTGATTGAGCTCTTTACTAACAAGTAATCATGTGTTCCTACTGTTATAGGCGTTCAGTGTTTACTTGTTTTTTTGGTAGAATTTGAGTATAGAAATAAGAAATGTGAGATCTCCCTTATTACCTGGCAATCTTCAGCAAGTCCCTTAAGCTCTATGGATCTTGCTTCCTCTTCAGTACAAGAGACTTAGATTAGATGGTCTCTCAGATCCCTTAAGTCTCTGTAAGTGTCACAGTATGTGATTCTGGGAGGATTTACCTGTAGAATTTGCTCAGTTCTTGGAAGCCACCTGACTGTGGACTTTGGAAGTACCCACATTGCTTTGCAATCTGTGTGGTATTTCATTTAGGTTTTGGATGGCAGGTTTAGCTTATCTAATTTAAATCAGGGGAAATAAGGAGAAACACAATCCTTTATTTTTATTTATTATTTTTAAAAAAATATTTATTTTTTTAGTTGTAGTTGGACATGATACCTTTATTTTATTTATTTATTTTTATGTGGTGCTGAGGATTGAACCCAGGGCTTCACATGTGCTAGGCAAGCGCTCTACCACTGAGCCACAACCTCAGCCCTATTTATTTTATTATTATTATTAATTTGTGTGTGTATGCTTGAATTAAACCCAGGGCTTCACATGTGCTAGGCAAGTTCCAAGCTACATTCCCAGCTCAGAAACTTATTTGCTGCATGTCACTTGCTTGTTGGCTCAGTGCTGTTAGGAAATGCCTGGGCTGCTGAGCTCTGTCCTCCCCAGCTGTCATAAGTGTCATCCACACCAACTGCTGCTGCAGATACCAGAGGGAGTGGGAGAGAGCTGAGTATCCAAACTGGAAGGAGAATCAGAAGAAACAAATCTGGTTCCATCAGCTGCCTTCCCCATCTCAGCCCAGAAATTTGGGTCCTGTGTTCTTCCAGCACTGAGGCAAATGGTTGGAACATTTGTGGTGTAGAGGGAGATTTTTGACTTGAACCAGAAATAATGGGCCTGTGCCCTTAAACAGTAGTCCCATATTGGTTTTACAGTATGTTTCTGCAGAGAGACCATTAATAAGGAGAAGACAAAGGGTGATTAGTGTTGTGGAAAATAAGAAAATGAGAACATATGTTCATGAGATTTACCCTTTTATTACCAACATTCCCCTCTCTTCTCCCTAATTGACTCCACTCATCATCCATTCCTATACTTTTATAATTTCAAATTCCTATTCTCTTGATTCTGGGTTCGGGGCTTCTTCCTGTGGAAGGCCCATTTCTGAACCAGTGGAGCATGGTCAGTCAAAACTTTGGGCAGTCCCTCTACTGGGTTACTGATTGACAAAGAAGGATTTCAGCCATCTGTGTATTTATCCTAGAGCATGGGTCACTTCTTTCTTTTATTTTTTTTCTTTTATCATTGATCTATTTTAATATCTAATCTATCTAGCCTCAGAGCAAGCCAGTGAACTCAGCTCAGCCTGCATTCCAAGTGCCCAATCAGTGTTAGACAATCCAAATAATGAAAAGAATGATCATTTTTGTTGACTGAAGAGAAATGTTGTTTTCTGGGTCTCCTTTTATAATTCTGTTCCCCAGTCTGTTTAATCATAAGAAAACACTTGATGGATCTATGCAAAATAGTATTTGCACTATTAGTTATTAGTACCTATATTTAAGTGAATTTGTGTGTATATGGAAAGTTGTAACAAATATGTATGTGGTATTATTTGGCCAATGAACAATGCTTAGAATACTTATGGATTCTTGGATTATTTATAGTAAAATGTTAGCCCACAGGGATCCATGCCCCCAAACTGGGATTCCAGAATTAGAATAGAATCTTCAGTATAGATATTGGTAGTTTCCAGTTGCTTTAATAGAAAGTAGTATAGAGTTTCTAATTTAAAATGGAGTCTTTCATGAGCTAGAGAAATGAATTTGACAGACTCTTTTTTATAACTGTTGCCTTATGTAGGATAAGGTATATGAATATGATAAAGCCATAGGCTTTGATTGATGTATGATGGGATGGTTTGTGAATTATAACCATAACTTCTCTTTTCCTTTTCTTTTCTATAGTTTGTGGTCATAAAGGAACATCAAGACATCAGGAATGGGAGTCAGTATTCCGCTGGCAAGGATGGCCAGGCAGCAAATGTTGTCCAGTTGTCCTCCCTGGAGCTTGGTGAATGGTTATCTTTATCTGGATCATGAGTGTTTTCCAGTGAAAAGTCTCATCTAACCAGAAAAAACAGTAGTAAAATTGTATAAGTTATGTGAGCATCTGGGTTGTATTTAAATACCATGGAGCTTTAGAGAAACAAATTTGGACTGTATTTTTGTCTTATATGAGATTACCATGTTCACTAAAACTCTAGTCACATAGCAGTCTGCTAGGTCACTTTCAGCAAGTGCTCAATGAGTGACTTCTTATTTTGAATTAGGATTTTAAGGTCGTTCTTGGGCTTGGAATCTGTATGGGTAGCTGTCGGTATAGATCCAGTGAAATTGTAAATGGCTTCAAGAAAATGTGTTTATGTTCTGGTAGGAAGGATTCCTGTGAATGTAAGTTGATCTGGGGATTTCAGAGTATTCAAGTCTTATCAGGGGCTAGACCTCGGCCAGATCCCTGGCTGGCTGTGAAGTCCAGTCAGGCCACAGAGAGACAATAAAATCAACCCAGGTTCTCAAACTGCTCTAGAACTCAGTCTGCTTCAGGTAGAAATGGAGTTAAAAATCCTCTGACACAGCACTTTTGCCAGGAGTTATATTATGATAAACCTCTTGGGTTGTGTCTTAGATAGCATTATTGTTTTTTCACAGCCTGGAGGACATTATTGAACATGCTTTTGTGTCATAAGCCTTTGAAAAAGCTTAGAGAATCTTTGTGCCAACAAAAACAGTTCCACTGCTAATAAAATGAGCCAATAAAATATCAGTTCTACTTTATTTTCTGATGTTTACCCTTCATGCTTATTACCATAACCTTCTTTTCAGATTTCCTTATAGAGAGAACATACGCTTTTTATTCTGGAAAAGTCACTCTAAAACCTCTCTTGTACATATGCTTCCAGGTAACCCAAAATACTAAACTCAGTAAATCCTTATTGCCTAATTTGAACAAGGCCATAAATACCACAATAAGTAATATATATATATATTTTACTGTTGCCTGGATAATTTAAAAATTCAGCATTTTGAAAAGCTGCTTGTTTTTTGTTATTATTCGTAGCGCTACTAGAAAATGACAGTATCCATTTGGTTACATAGAACTTTTTTTAAGCACCTAAAAGCACATACTTCTTTCTTATGAAGGTAATTTACTTTAGAAGTACATGTTATATAATTTTTCAAGTCACTCAGCAGCACAATGTTATGATAAGAATATGGTTACATTCAGAAAAAACCTAAAGACTCATTATAGTTAGCTGTGTAGTCAGGGATAGTTTAGAAAGTCTACTTTTTTTTGTACTCTGCTACAAACAATTTAACCCATTTTATGGGGCCACTCATCTAACTGTCTCCCAATATGAGTAATATATCCCGGATCAGCTGCCTGGGGTGAAAGTGTGCTTGGGGAAGGAGATAAAGCTCAATTTTGGCTTTGAGCCAATCCCTTCTCTGTTCTTAGAAAGTCCGTGAAAACATAGTACTTGTGGTAGATTCACAGAGTCATTTTTGTTGACCTTAGCCAATATCAACTGGTGCAAGTTAAGTGCAAAGTAACTTGCTAGGGGCAGAAGACCACACTGAGAGAATGGGATAAAAGTGCACTGAAAACTTGAGTTTGTTCCAAAGTAATTTATGATCCAGATGTGGAGATAGGAAGTACACAGAGAAAGCCAAAGAGCAATATCAGGTGCATAGCTCTTTGGATTTTCTCAACCAACCAAGACAGTTTTAATTTTTGAAATTGAGTCCACAATAGTTTGAGAATGTGTTCTTTTTGTATTTCAGGCTAATTCTCAAACCCCAGTTTTTAAAGGTCTCTTTTGTTGGACATTGTGAATAATGTAAATACTAAATTTATTTTTTTTTTAATTTGCTTTTTTTCTTTTTTTCTATAGGGTCAGTGCAGCCATGGAATCAGGAACCCTATATACGTGGAATAGGCACAGAGCAAGGCTGCTGGATCCCACCATCCAGTGATAAAAAGTCTAGTCTCCAGGTAATGGAGTGAAACTATCCTTGTACCTTCCTATGAAGTTGAGATGCCCCACCTTTCTGCAGTCATTATAGCCACAGAGATCCACCATGCCAAATGGAACTGACTCAGTGACAACTGGAGTAAAAAGGGAGGTCAAGAACAAACCGTGTTGATGGACAGTATATTTTTCTTTCAAAAAGTAGAATACTAAAGATTTTGGTTCCACAATCTCAATGTAACTCACCTAATCAGGGTTCTAGAGGCAGATGTGTAATTGTGCTTTTGTGTTTTCCTCCAAGCAATCCCATTTCTGATTTTCAAAGAAGTGCGACCAGGAGAATTGGGACAATTGTGCTTAATGAACTGTGATGTATTTAATAGCCAATACAGATAGATTTTTTTTCTCCCCTGCACCCTCAGAATAAATCTGAGGATAAAGCAGGTTTGGTCAGTTACAAAGTAATTTCTTTGATCTGGATAGTATTCTGAACTCAATTTCATGAAATGACTGGAATATTATAAAATTACTGTTTAGATACATTGAAGGAATTTATTAACTATTGGTCCATGCTAGTAATTTTGCAGAATGAATTATCATAAATTAATGAAAAGTGCAAGAATTTACAACTTGATTTTTTGCTGAATGAGATTACTTATTTTTATATTTTTAAAATCTTTGAATGAAATCATTTAATTTTTAAAGCATTTCCCCAAAGACATCAGTATTTCTCAATCATTATTATTCTTACAGCATTATAGCATTGTTTCCCATGAAAATGTTAAATTCTTCCTTTGTGTGTTTGCACAGACTTATTTTTCACATATGAGATTGTAAGCAAATTCCATGATTTATTTTCATTTTCATTATGGATGGCAGTTTATTCTAATTATTTAAATAAAATCACCATAAAACATAAACATTTTACTGTACTCCTGATTAAGTAGTTAATTATAATTGGTGGTGGTGATAGAGTTGAACCAAAGTGATTTGCCACCCTTATTTGCCAACCTTATTATAATTTTTTTTAAGTTTGAATCTATAACTCTGACTTCTAAAGTAAAATTTTATATTATTCTAATTAAGTATTTTCCTTGCAGCAAATGCATTGTTACTACACATAACATAACTTGCCTAATGCAATAATTTTGGATTGTTTGGGGCTTTGGATTATCTAGTTTATGCATTAACTAGTCCCTTTGTCTATTTTTGTCTTTCATTTCTCTTCAACACCCCAGATTTTGGTTATAGTAGAAAATCAGAATTAAAAAGAATTGAAACTCGTGTTTTCAAGTGGATATTTTATAGAAATTTTGGTAAAGATTTGGTGATGGGGAGGATGACCTAAGGTTTATGAGTATTAGTTAACTATTCAGTATGACATTCTTCCCAGCTAATTTTTTTAAATATTTATTTTTTAAGTTATAGGTGGACACAACATCTTTATTTTTATATGGTGCTGAGAATCAAACCCAGTGCCAGGTAGGCGAGCGCTTTACCTCTGAGTCACAACCTCAGCCCACCCCCATCTAATTAATATTTTGTTAGTGTTCTGTTTTGCTTTAATTAATAACTGATATTCTAGAGGATCAGGAGACATATTTATTTCTGATTAATTAATTGACCTCAGAAAAAGAATAGCCATAATTTCCCCCAAGTTTTTCTTTCTTTATTTGAATGTTCTTGTTGTTGTTTCCTACAAAAGTTAGCATTTTTGAAGGTTTGGATTACCTTTTTGTACTTCATACAGGATTCTGTGAATAACCAAAGAAATTACATGAAACCACACTAACACATAATATGCCATTATCTTTGAAACACAAAATCCCTGTTTGCATTTAGCTTTCAATGACTCTGATACCTTAGAAACTGGGACCATTTTAAGTCCTTCACCAGACTGTCCTTCTGCAATCTGGTCAGTTTAATGGGGGAAAAAAAATGTACTTTGTGTACTTTGGTCAATGAGTCTCCCTGAAGAGATGTCTTATCTTCTTTTCTTGCATTCTCATGTTTCCACTAGAAACATTCTCCTTTATTTATAACCTAAGTTTTAAAATGAATATTTTTGTTTTGTTGTTTTGGTGGTGCTAGGGATTAAACCCAGGGCCTTGTGCATGCTAGTCAAGCACTCTACCAACTGAGTTATATCCCCAGCCCCCATGAATATTTTTATCTAAGATATTTGATTTGATTTTTTCTAGACTGAATATTTTCATTGCCTAACTCTGATGGTCCATTGTACACAATACCTGATTGAGATTCCATTTGACTAAATGTCACTTTCTACATATGAAATGAACGTTCTGCCCTCTTTTGGCGCTCCTAATGAAAACTTAGGACACTGTGTTCTTTTGAATCCATGTGGTTCTGTTTCTACCTACTAGCTTTGATTTCTAACTAATGCCCTTTCCATGCCAATAAATGATTATTGCATAACAATTGAAAATGTGATAGGAATAAATCCTTAAACACAAGGCTGGGAGAAATAAAAACTATCTAGTCAATTTAAGTAGCTGTGACAGGCAAGATTTTATGTTTTGCTGTGTTTTTTTAATGTTTTCTTTCTTCTTCTTTTAAGTTCTTAAATGAGAAACCCTTATCTGTATTGTTTCATGTGCAGTTCAGCTCTAGGCCTGCCTGAAGCAAATACTCTTCTGCTGAGAACTTGACAGCTTCCTCTAACTAGAGCTATAGGCTAGGAACAAGAGAAACACCAGGCTTTACACATTGGTAGGTAAGCTGTAACTTTCCCAGAGTTCATTTCTGTGTATTTTTGTGATTTAGTTGGTCATCATGGTTAGATGCAGTGAAAGAGGCACAGTTGCCCAGTGAATGCTCACTCTTTCTCATGGAGATTGCTGACGGGCTGCAGATTTTCCTTATTGTTCCTTACTCTGTATTATCTCTTTAACCTTTCTGTTGACCCCAAGACATACCAGTGATCCCAGACTCACCACCAGACACAGATACATCCACATTCCATAGCTTACTCTCAGCTGCTCCACTTGGGAAGTTGGAAATGACTAGCTTCATAGCTCTCCTTGCCAACTCTAGCTTGTCCATAGGTTCCATTGTATGTTCTATGATTCCTGATCAGTCATTATACTCCAATGTTCCAAATCCCTTCTAGACCTTACTTTCCCAGATCCTTTTGTAATTATGTAAGAATTAATTTTTACAATAAATAATCATTACATAATATCTAATGATTTGCTTCCTTGATTGAACCCTGACTGATAAAACAGGCAAATGTAACTAAATATTCAAAGTACATATAATTCTCATGTTACTAAAACAGTAAGATTAGATGTTTAAAATATGTAAAAGATGAACACAAGGAAATTATATTCTGATTATTTTCACAGAAAATGCAAAATAGTCTATAGTTGAATTACCAGTTGTAATACAAATTCAATACACCTTAGTAATACTAACTAGAAAAGTAGATAAAATATATTGGTTATTATAGTAATATAAATGTGAAGTAACTATGAATAAATTTATTAGGTATCTGATTCCATTACAGAGAACATTAAAAATGGAAAAACTTTAAAGATGACCCAAAAGAAGACATATCATGTTCATGTATAGGAAGTTTTTTTAAAAAATATACATATATATTTTTTAGTTGTAGTTGGACACAATACCCTTATTTTATTTATTTATTTTTATGTGGTGCTGAGGATCGAACCCAGGACCTTGCACATGCTACAAGAGCCACAACACCAACCCCAGGAAGTTTTAATATTATAAAATTGTCACTTCTCAAAGATATAGACTCAATAACACTTTAATAAAAATGTTACTATTTTCAATCAAACTTGAAAAATTGTTTCTAAAATGCATATGGAAAGGTCTGGTCATGTAAGTTTAGATTTATCAGGAACCTTCTGCTAAATAACTAGAAAAACTGTTAATAAAATAAAATGGATGCTGTGAAGAAGAATAGAATAAATAAAAAGAAGAACTAGATAAAATCCAAATAGTAATTCACTCAAAAACATCAGGCGATTACTAAGCAATAAGGATTTGAGGGGCTAAGCTCTTGGAGAGAACAAATGAAGACTGCAGAGGTGAACCTGACAGTGTCACTTTTCCTCTTTAAGTATTTGCTAATGTGTCAGTCACGTTATATCAGAGAAAACATTCAGCATTTGTTTTTGGGGAGATTGGCTAACTTCACATAGCATTATCTTCACCAACTCTATCCATTTACTTACAAATGCCATGATTTTATTCTCTTTTATTGCTGAGTAATATTCCATTTTGTATATATGTCACTTTTTTTTATCCATTCATCTACCTAAGGGCATCTAAGTTGGTGCCACAGTTTAGCTATTGTGAATTGTGCTGCTATAAACATTGATGTAGCTGTGTCCCTGTAGTATGCTGTTTTTAAGTCTTTTGGGTCTAGACTGAGGAGAGGGTTAGCTGGGTCAAATGGTGATTCTGTTCCCAGTTTTCCAAGGAATCTCCATACTTCTTTCCAAATTGGCTGCACCAATTTGCAGTCCCACCAGCAAAGTATGAGTGTACCTTTTTCCCCACATCCTCGACAACACTTATTGTTGTTTGTCTTCGTAATAGCTGCCATTCTGACAGGAGTAAGATGAAATCTTAGAGTAGTTTTGATTTGTATTTCTCTTATTGCTAGTGATGATGAACATTTTTTCATATATTTGTTAATTGATTGTATATTCTTTTCTGAGAAATGTATGCTCAAGTCCTTGGCCCATTTATTGATTGGGTTTTTTTTATATATTTAGCTTTTTGAATTCTTTACATACCCTAGAGATTAATGTGTGAGGGATAAAATTTGCTCCCAAGATGTAGGCTTTCTATTCACCTCACAGATTTTCTTTCTTTCTTTCTTCCTTCCTTCTTTCCTTCCTTCCTTCCTTCCTTCCTT